AGCAGCGGCATGTGAGCGATGATCACCTTACTGGACGTCTTGGACTGAAGTTTCTCTGACAGTTTAGTGCACAGATTCTCAGCTCCTGAAAGAACAACAGCATGAGAAATTTGTGAATCAAATAATTTTGCAGTCCAAAACTTTTGCGGTCTTTTCCAGAATACAGAAACCAACTCCTACTCAGGTATGAAATTTATTATTGAAATTAATGACAATGTAGGAAGAGACATGAACTTATTTACTGCATGGTGATAAGTGATGAATGTGAATTTGCTGTTTTTTTTGGCTGAATTATTACCTGCATCCTGACAAAATGACTAAATATCTACTTTACTATTGGTCAGTGATATTTTAGTATTATTTATGTACTGTTATAGTATTTAATAATATTTTGGAATACCTGAAAAAATTTAAATAAAGGATTTCTTTTTAGTTTTAGTAATTTTATGTGATTTTAACGTTTTATTCGTTTTTTTATACATTTTAATTTCTGTTTAGGCTAAATGTTTTTTTGTTTTGTTTTTTAATTTGAGTAGTTTTAATATTTCAGACAATTTTATTTCAGTTAAATAGGAAAATTTTCATTTAAGTTTTACCATCTGATATTCAGATATTATTTCAGCTTCATTTCAATTAACAAATATTAATTGTAATAGTTTTAACTTATGATAACAACTGCTATTGGATAGCATTAACCACATCACAAAATGTACTGTATATATATATATTTTTTTACTTTTACTCAAATTGCTAGTGAATTTCACAAATAATAAAGATATGAAAAATGAAATTTTTGAAGAAGAAAGACTGAAGTAGTATTTTCTGGTAAATTTTCTTGCACTCCACTAATCTGTTTCATTCACAAATTAAAACAAAAATTATACATTTCTTACAGTGCAACAAAATGGAAAGTCATAAAAAAGAAAGCAATTACTGCATTTTGATAAAAGCACATTTTTCTTTATAATAACGTGAACTCATGAATTGCTCACAATAAAACCAGAAATATGCATGACCAAAGAGTTGGTTTTGATTTCATGTTTATATAGAAATGTATATTATAATATAACACAACCCACCCAGAGACACCTCCACTGGAGTGTGACAACATGCCCCGGTCTGTCCTACTAGACGACCCTGAGACGCAGTAAAAGCAGTGATTGTCAGTGACTGAAAGGAAGCTACAGACCTTGCTCATCTTTGACGGCCCACACCATGAGGTCCACACAGGCTGCGTTGGCATGACAACGGAGCTTGAGAGGACTGGGTTCCCCTGGCAACCGTTCCTCACTGAGAACCTTCTGGATCTCTGATTGGCTGCTGCTGAACTGCTCCAGAATGAAGTCATGCACCTCTTTAACGAAGCTCGTCTGCACATCTGACCAGAGATCCACATGAAACATTCACATACGGCAAAGGTCAAAGGCATTAACAAACACTACACAAACATTAAAGGTGTGATTAATAAACCATTTGAGCTAAATAACGGCTAGATTTCAGCAACCTTTCATGTGATAGAGCGTGTCTCGCAGCATCTTGAACATGCTGACGTATAGCGGGTCGCTGAAGGTTTTGTAAAAGAGATCGATGCCTGGATTTGCCTTCATTAACAGAGAAAAAAGGAAGGGCGAATCAGGAAGAGCTAAACAAGCAAACAGGCTTAAGCATCTGGTTTGTGACAATTCAATATTAATGCTGATATAAATCCTAGTAAATGAAACGTGTGGCTTCACCTCTGTAACCTCAGACACGACAGCGTCCAGAGTCTTGAGGAATGAATCAGAGACGAAATGCTTCACCTGCAGAAACAACAGTGAGATATTAACAGGGTGATGAATCAATATTTGGAGATTTTAGCAATCATAATCGGCCAACGACACTTGGTTGATTAACAGAAGTGTCAGTTTCTCTACAATGAATTACGCAACCCTGCATCTTGAAAAAAAAAGTTCTGCTGATTTACAAAAAAAAAAAAGCTTAATATTACATCATTTTACAAAATAAAAATTAAGATTTACTTAAAAAAATTAAAAATTATTTTTTGCATGTTTTCATTCATTTCTGTTTACTTATTTTTTAGCATATTTTTGTATGTATTTAAATCATTCTTAAGTATTTTTCCAATAATAATTTATTTTTAAACAAAAAAGCAGTCAAACGTCAAACGTTTCATGACAAAAAGACAACATTTCTGCTAATGACAAAAAGTAGTACTTAAAACGTATTATTTAACTTATAATCTGCAAAGGAGTGGAAATAGTGGAAATTAATCAAAACAATTTGTGAAATGTGCCGAGAACTGAACAAATAGTTGTAATCTGGCTCAGAGGAAGACAGAAATCATGTCTTTGTGGTGTTTTTCTGCTGATTACGGGATAATACAAGACTTTTTCATCTTACAAATGTTATCAAAAGCAAAAATGCTACAAAAGAAATCATATTTTGTAAAAACATGACGTGACAAACAGGCACTATTTTTGGAATCAGCACCTCAAAACTGGATTTCATTTAGCAAAATATGATGCAGTGCGTGTTACAAATCATTTTTGGTGAGTAAATATTGAATTAAATAAGCATTAATTTTCACTATTAATTTACTAGCAATTTCTGAGTGGAAAAAAAAAAAGTAAAAAAAAAAAATCTGTGTGGTTAATGTCAAAGCAGTGTTATTGTAAACAAACAATTAAAATTTGTTTTTGCTAAAGCTAAAATAAATCGAAATTTGAGATGAAAAATTAAAACCTAAACTTAAATGAAAATTCGAAATATCACAATGGCTGAAACTGAAAAAAAAGTTGACGTACTAAAACTAAAATAACAATAAATTTAGGTTAAATAGAAATATAAAAATATTTATATTTATAACAAATGACCAAACTGCATCAGGTACATATGATTACTAAATTAGCCGTCAGCTGTTCTATAAATATCAGTGCAGACATTATTTTAAAACCCCTTATTCATATAAAAGGCCAATACTGACATGCACGCTTCTGTATTTTCTGCCAAACGCCGTGAGGAGCTCAGTAAGCGTGTGTGTACCATCTGTAAGAGGCGGATCAGCAGCTCTAAAGGGACGCTTATTTCTTGTCCGCTGGCTCCAGTGAAGAGAGGAGAGATGGAGAAACTGGAGCTGACCGTCGTGAAGTAATAATCTGGATTCACCACACTACCCTCCGCCAGACACGAACCTGACAAAACACCATCAGATCACATCTACAAACACTCACGGTTTAATGTTGCAGTGGGTGACAATGCAGTAACACGAACACTAGCACAAAAATGTCTTCTAATTAAATAAACAATTCAGCAGTGACTAATTTGAACGGAATTAAAAGGGGCTTACTGAGAAACGAGTGCATGAACCCTGAGCTCTGAATCTGCTGAAGAATGTTGAGACGCTAAAAGCGCTTGTTCAGAGATTAGAGTCGTGACACAGCGATTACCTTCAAAATACTGTGGTCCTGGAGCTGTGGGAGAGCAGGGCGATGGTCCACCTCTGTCCGGACTCCCCTGTGAACATAACCCAGGTCTACTCTATCAGTAGATACTACCATCCCATACTACTCATGCTATTTCTGCAATACACACTGTATCCTCTTCACACACTGTGAATCTTTCATGTGCAAAGAATACCAGGATGACCCACTACTTTGTTTGCCGAAATGTGCAGTATACAGTCAATACTATATCCCACAATGCAATGTGCAAAACTTGACATTTTCCAGTTTCATGAATGAATTGAGTGTTTTTAGCAATGATTTTTTTTTTTTATATATTTTTAGATCAGACTGCCATGGGGATAAGACATTAAGACATTTTTTTACTTTTTTCCCCTAAATATTTGTATTTTTTCATATTATTTCATATTAATTTATTTGTATGTACTTCTTAAAACATTCAATAATTATTTTAGCATATATTTTTTCAATCATTTATTTTTATTTACTTCTTTCTTCATTTTCGCATGACATTCAATACTTTATTTTTATTTACTTTTTTTCTAAAACTACTTTTGCATATTTTCTCAGAATAAATACTTTTTATTTACTTAATCAAATTATTTTTGTATATTTTTCAATAATTTACTTTATTTACTTATACTTTCCCTAAAATTTATTATAAAATTTATAAAATTTAAAAACATCAAACATTATTTTTGCACATTCTTTCAATAATTTATTTGTACTTTTTATAATTTTTTGCATTTTTTCCCAATAGTTTTTAAAAATGTATTTACTTAAAAAAGGTTTTTTTCTGCACATGTATTTCAATAAATTAAATTTTTTACTGAGATAATACCCAGATGCTACTCGCAGAATTAAACCATGCAAAGTATCATGTGACAGTGTGTAACATACATGTTGTTTGAAACGTTTATCATTGCATAATCCATACTTTTACACTTATTATGTTTTTAAAAAAAAGTAACAGGCAATATAACCGTGCACAGTATGCACTAAACAGTATACAAGTGTAGTGTTGACCTGTGCGTCAGGGTTAGCGATGCCGCTCTTGCGTCTCAGCATGTCTCCCTGACAGGCCGTGAGCAGTGAACTGGGTAAAATAGAGCGGAAGTCATTGAAGGATCTCCTCCGAACGCCCTCGGTCTCCACAGACACACGCTGAGCCGGCTGCGGCGCTCCTCGCGGAAACAGCTGAGAGAGGAGGGGCTCGCCGCCATTACCATAGCGACCAAACGCTCGGGCCACGCCCAGAAGACACGGAACAGCATACCTGCACAGGTAGACTGACGAGACAGGAAGTGAGTCAGGAGAGTGAGAGTGAATCTAAATGTGTGTTTGAGACGTGCAGCAGAGCTCAGATCACCTTTATCATGGTTCTCGGGCGTCTGGCAGATCTCCAGCAGAGACTGCATCACTTCCATCACAGCATCCAGAATCTGGACAGAAAGACGGTAAATGAGTGCAAAGGAAAAGGTAAGATGGAAATGTAAAGATGCACTGAAGATCTGACCTGTGAGCGAGACTCCGGGTCTCTCTGAGCGACGTCAGACAGGAGCGTCACCAGACAGAAGCTGAAGTTTTCTGCCATGGGGAGAGTCTCTGTGAGCATATAAAATACAAACTTCATTTTCAAGTGTCTATGCACGTAAACTATACAAGGCTCTGATGGCATACAAAAATACAGAAGATATACACCACCATTCAAAGGTTTGGGGATTGTACAATTTTTTTAAATGTTTTTGAAAGAAGTCTCTTATGCTCACCAATGGTTCAATTTTTTGCATATTTTATTTCAATATGAATTTATTTTTATTTACTTTAGAAAATGTCAAAAAAAACATTTTTTTCAATAGTATTTTTTTGTATTGAATGTTTTTTTCTAAAATTATTTCTGCATTTTTTTCAATAATCAATTAATTTAGTTATATTTTGTTCTACAATATTTTTTATAATATATATATATATCTATATATATATATATATATATATATATATACACACACACTGTATATAATAACTTATTTTATTTACTAAAATTCACAAAAACACAAATATATTTGAATTTTTTTCAATAGTTTTGTTTGAAATGTTTAGCATCACATAATGCATAATTCTACACTTACTATATTTTTCTAAGTAATAGGCAATATACTGTGCAGTATATTTAGTAAATGTATTAATTCTTTAAAATCTTACTGACTCCAAACTTTTAAACAGTAATGTACATGCTTGCATACATAGTGCATAGTAATGTTCTTGATGAAGAAAGAGGAATAAATTATTACCTTTACACTTCCTCCAAGCATTCTCCTCCACCCACTGCACTCTGGGTAATCCCTTGAGCAGACTCAACAGGTAACTTACCACCGTGTCTTTGTGCTGAAAAAGACACATATCATACATGAGCATTGTGTTGCAAAAGTGAAAACTTTATAACGACAGACTAGATCAGAATATACTTGCAAATCAAATCCCAAATCTATTTATATAAAAATCAGATGCTTCAAAAAAAGAAAACCAAAATTACACTGCATACATTGTTTGTGCAGAGAAATTATGCAGCCTACAAGAAACAAAACAACCCTTTGGCAAGTGAGAAAAATAAAGAGTACAAGCTAAACTCTGTGTGTGTATGTGTGTGTGTGTGTGTGTGTGTGTGTGTTTAAAGTGGCTTAAAGGAATAGTTCACTAAAAAATGTATTTTCTCTGAAACTATGCTCATCCTCAGGTTATTCAAGACGTAGATGAGTTTGTTTCTTCATCAGGTTTGTAGAAATGTAGCATTGCATCAGTGTCTCAGCAATGGATGCTCTGCAGTGAATGGGTGCCGTCAGAATGAGAGTCCAAACAGCTGATAAAAACATCACAATAATCCACAAGTAATCCACACCACTCCAGTCCATCAGTTAACATCTGGAGAAGACAAAAGCTGCGTGTTTGTAAGAAACAAATCCATCAAGACATATCATATCCTGCTAAAATATGAGTCCATAATCCATAACACATCCTTCAGTGAAAAAGTCAGTCTCCTGTTGTCTCTCACACCAAAATCTAGTCACATATTTGTTTAGAGCGGTTTTGGCTTGTAAACAGTGCTTGATCTGTGCAGATTTCTCCTGATTCAGAAAACATTTTCACTGGAGGAAGCGTTATTATGGATTATGGACTAGAAGCAACAGTTTGAAGTTAAAAATGTCTTAATGCTGGATTTATTTCAGCTTTTGTCTTCTCCAGATGTTAACTGATGGACTGGAGTGCTGTGGATTACTTGTGGATTATTGTGATGTTTTTATCAGCTGTTTGGACTCTCATTCTGACGGCACCCATTCACTGCAGAGCATCCATTGCTGAGACACTGATGCAGTGCTACATTTCTACAAACCTGATGAAGAAACAAACTCATCCTAATCTTGGACGGCCTGAGGGTGAGCACATTTTCAGCAAATGTTCAGTTTTGGCTGAACTATTCCTTTAACCAGTCACAGCTCTAATCCAGCTGTGATCACATTATCTGCTTTAGCAGTGATTTTCTCTCATAAACCAGCTCAGCAGCTGGAAAGCTTCAACACGCACTTGGCCATTCGAGGATATTCCCAAAGGGAGGTTTTGTCATATTTAGCTAACATCCGGGGACAATTTTGTCCCCAAAATAGCACACACACAAAAACACAACTGCACTTGTGAAAGACACTCATGCTAATAATCAAACTCACCTGTAAATCAGACTCGACCAGGAACACGGCCAGTGCGATGACGGCATCCCTGCGGCGGACATCCAGAGTGAAGACGCCGCGGCTGTCGCATGGACACATGCATAATAACTTCTGCACCTGATGAAAGAGACACGCTTTGAATCTACTTTTCTATTCCTATCAGTTGACATGAGCTCAAAGCTAAACAACTTCTCTCTCTCAGAGGATTTAAGCAAACTGATCTATCTGGCATCTGCAGAACTAGAACAACCTGTTAAGAGATTCACGCATGCTTTGAGAGCATGCACATGTGGGGAAATCAGCTGCTCATAATACAACAACATGAAGATTTCTGCTGCAGTGCGCAAATGCATGAGAATGCAAATGCAAGATGAATCGGTCATGCAGGCGTCTGCAATGTGGCAATGCATTTCACAAGAGCACAAAAGGAAGTCTATACACCTGCTGCTGTTGCTTTAATACTGTAACAGAGTCAGAGCAAATGTGTAGAAAAGAAAGAAAAGCTTTCATCGGTGCTGCGGGCTCAAGCTGGCACCATTTAGCGCCTGTAAAAGCCTCTGGACATGTGACAGCTCTGAACTGCTGCATATGTTTTTCCGTTTAATAGACCAAATACATTTTACAAAATGTAAAAAAATATCCAAAATTGTGGTCGTTTCAGAACAGGTGTAATGCATTTATTCCGTTCAACGAATAAAAGTACCATGATAATGTTTTTTTCCCCATGTTCCATTTTTCCAGATCATTCAAAAATACATGGCCCTTAAATACTGAAAAAAAAATACAGTTTTTCCAGTACAAATATCTAAACATTCTGGAATCAAGATACATTTACTTGAGAAGCAAAAGTACTTCGGATATGAAGTCTTGTTTTATTAAAATGAAGTGAGTTCATCCTTAAAACCAGGGTTATTATAGTTAACTAAAACCATTAAAAAAAACATGTTCGTTACTTGAAACAATAAATGTTAACTAAAATAATATAAAATCTAAAAAAAAAAATTTTTTTTAATTATAATTGCAAAAAGCAACATTTCTCATTTTCATTTAGTTTAACTTGACATACTAAAATAACTAAATCTTAAAATTAACAAATAAATTAATATAAAAATTAATAAAATAAAAATATAGATAAAGTATAAAAACTATATAAACATAAAAAACTAATAAAAATGACAAATGCACAACAAAATTACTACTGAATTTGACATTTACACTTCAATTTTAAAATTAAAAAAATAACTCAATATTAAACAAAACTATAATAGTATCTCAATTATACTAAAATAAAACTGCATAAAAAAATCTGGGGTCAAAAAAATTAACTTAATTCAAAGGGAAAACAAGACTGTTTTTCTCAGCACATTGGCAAATATTTTAAATCAAAAACTCACTTAATTTTGATGCATTTGATGCAATATCATAAGTCAAGTTGTTTCTCAAGTAAATGCATCTTGATTTAACAATGTTTAGATATTGAGTATTGCATGTAAATATCACAGTTAATGAATATGCCAATCATGCATGTTATATATCAGATTACCAAAATATGACTGCAAAATTCAAACAACACAACTGAACTCGATGCAAACATACAGTTGTTGCATTGCTGCGCAACAAACTTGCAGCCCGTGACACCTGTCGCGCATCACAGTAACGCGGCGCGATCTGTTACAATGCAGCGCAGCGCAGCGCGTCAGGAGCGTAGTGAAGAGCGTCTGTTGTGTGTGTTGTGTGTGGTGTGTTGTGTGTGTTGTGTTGTGTTGTACCTTCTCGACGGGCGCCGGGCGGTGCGCTGCCAGTGAACGCGCGAGCGACAGAACCGTGTTGAAATAGAACTCTCGCGTCCCGCCTCGCGACACCATGATCCACGAGAAAAGCTGCACACACACAAACGACGATGATTCCGCAGCAGCCCGCGGTGCAGAAACACCTCCGCAATACGGAGAGTGTGAAGGCACAAATAACAGCCGATGGAGAGGCGTGTCTACATTAAAGCATCATCACTATACAGTTGATCTTATTGGCTCGTACAGCTGAAGAATATTTACACACCACTAATGGAGAGGGGTTTTATAAACGTGTTGTGTAGTTCATTAAAAAGAAAAAGCAATGAAGAAATAGTCTTGACAGCTTTATGAATACTGAGAGAGAAACCTGAACAAACTTCACAATCTCTAATAGAGTATTGACTAATATATATATATTTATATTTTATTGCGATTTTTGTATTTCTGTAATATTAACGATAACAGCATCATCATAATTAAATAAACAATATTAATAATTAATATTTATTAGTAGTCAGATAGTATGTATATCAATAATTATTTATAAAAAATTGTATGCATTATTATTGTTGTTATTATGAATTAACAATATTAATAATTAATAATAATAATTATTATTATTAGTGGAAGTAATATATTATTATGTATTATATATTAATAATTATTATTTCTAATTTTTGTAGTAGTATTTCTGTAATATTCATATTTATAAATAAATATGTATAATGTTAATGAATGAAAGAATGGTTCATAACAATAACAGCATAACAATAATATAATAATAATAATAATACATGTATTGTTATTATGTAACAATATTAACAATTCATAATAATAATTAGTAGTATAGTAGTAGCAGTAGAAGTAATGTATTATGTATCAATAATAACAATATTAATACATAATAATAATTAGTAGTTGTTGTAGTAGTAGTAATAATAGTAGAAGTTATATAATAATAATAATAA